AAACAGTACAGAACAAACTGGGCTGCATCTGCTACATCTGCAGATCAGAGAGAAACAGAGACTTTCCCCTACAGAGATTATCATCAATTCAAGGTCCAAGGTTCAGTGCTATCAGTGTTCCAGGGTACAGGAAAGTAGAGTGTGCCAATCCTAGCCTGAAATTAACTTTATGCTACAGAACTCAAGACAAAGTTGCACAGAAATGTGTGTAAATCAAAGGTATGTGCATGCAGGCTCTGAATAGTTCAGCATCTTCTATATACGCTAGTTGTATTTCCCCCAATAGTTACAAGCTTCCCAGGCAGAAGACTTGTTCTCTTTCTCATTTACAAGTGTAACTGTGTTTTCCAAAAGCACGAGGCCAGCTGGCAATAAACTGAGGGCACCAGATGGAAGTAGAATGCAAATAAGAGATATGAAAGAGCTTTGACAGCTACCATTCTTGCTTATATCCTGACTGGTGATGAATTCCATCAGACAGTTCAGTTTCACTGCTCTTGTTCTAAACCACGCCACACAACTGAACACAAGCAGAACAAAGCACACACAAAAGATCAGAAATACAACCCTTTGTATTTCAGGGAAACCTGACATTTCTCTCTGAGAACAGCAGCATTCAGATGCAGCTTTTAACTCCTTGCTTTGCTGAGCCTTAAATTCCCAAACAGTGAGAAATCCAAGGACTGTGAGAACAGTTACAAATCCTAAAAAAAGAAATATATGTAATTAAACGTTTCCAGTACTTACCTACAGGTAATCCTAATATATGATCAGTTGAAGGTAGCCCAAAACGGAATTTCTTAGTGTCGTGACTGATTTCCTAGAAAGCAAAGTTAGAATAAGGTCAACATCACCACTGCTCTGAATTTCAAACTATGCTCAACACAGCAGGCTTTAGTAAGCCTGCTCTGTGTGAGCATGTACGTAGAACGCTGGGAAAGGACACAGAAACGGCTTTGAAAAATAAAGTTGAAATAAATCAGAAGTTTTAGAAGCGGGCTTATCCTCTTTAATTCCACAAGGAGTGACATTTTGCCTGTCCGTGCAATCCCTACGGCACCTTTGCGTGCAGTAAATCTGGAAACTCTATTGCTCAAGGCCGGCGAGCACATGCCGCGACTGTGGCCAAAGATCAAGGCAAGACAGGGCGTGCAGAAACACGCGGGGCTGCACCTCGCCGATGGCACACAGGGCAGAAACCCGGGCAGAAACGCAGCCGGGACTTAAAACACACGAAGCAACGAGTCTACACCCTGTGGAAACCCACATTCCCCAGGCCCCCGACCGACGGCCCCGCATCCCACCCCGAGCCCGCGCTCGGTCACCTCCTTGTCCAGCAGCCGCAGCGGGTACTTGGCCAGCGGGTCCTGCAGGGTGACGGGGCCGCTCATCCTCCGCCCGCTCCCCCGCAGCAGCAGCAGCAGCAGGGCCGAGGCCGCCACCACGGCCACGGCGACGGCCACAGGCGCTCCCTGTGGGGAGGAGAAGGGCAGGCGGTGAGGGCTTCTATCCCGGCTCCCGTCCCAGCTCCCGCAGCTCCCGGCCCGGTCCCCCCGCCCGGCCCCTCACCCCCAGCGCCTCCATGGCTGCTGCCTTCCCGCCCGCAGCTCCCGCCGGCCCGGCACGGTCCGGCTCTGCCCGCCCTCTGCCCGCCCCGCCCCGGGTCCCGCCCGCTCCCGCCTCCGCTCCCGCCTCACGGTCCCGCCCTGCCGGTCCCGCCGCCGAGCGGGCCTGGGGCAGGGCTGGAGCAGGACATGGGAACCGCGTCCGGAGCCCCGCTCCGAGCTCGGCCCGGCCGCCCCGGGAGCCGAGTTACCGTGTGTGCAGTGTGTCTGATTTCACGGAATCACAGAATCAGTTAGGTTGGAAAAGACCTCTGAGATCACAGAGGTTTACAGAGAGGGTAATCAGGCATTGGAAAGGGCTGCCCAGGGAAGTGGTGGGTTCTCCGTCCCTGGAGGTTTTTAAGATGAGACTGGATGTGGCACTCAGTGCCATGGTCTGGTAACCACGGTGGTGTTGGATCAAGGGTTGGACTTGATGATCTCGGAGGTCCTTTCCAACCTGGCTGATTCTATGATTCTATGGTTCTGTGATCATCGAGTCCCTTTCCAACCTGGCTGATTCTATGATTCTGTGATCATCGAATCCAAGCTATGACCGAACACCACCATGTCAGACCGTGGCACTAAATGTCACGTCCAGTCTTCCCTTAAACACCTCCAGGAACGGTGACTGCACCACCTCCCTGGGCAGCCCATTCCAATGTTTAATCAGTCATCCTTTCTGTGAAGAAATTCTTCCTGAAGTCCAGCCTGAACCTCCCTTGGTGCAGCTTGAGGCCAATTCCTTATCCCATCTCTAGCTGCCTGGGAGAAGAGGCCAATCCCGCCAGGCTACAGCATCCTTTTAGGAAGTTGTAGAGAGCAATAAGATCTCCCTTGAGCCTCCTTTTCTGCAGGGTAAAATCTCTCTCAGCTACTCCTCACAGGACTTACCCTCCAGACCCTTCATCAGCTTTGTTTCCTTCTCTGGACCTGCTCCAGCACCTCAATGTCCTTCCTGAACTGAGGAGCCCAGAACTGGACAGAGCACTCGAGGTGTGGCCTCACCAGCGCTGAGTACAGGGGAACAATCACTTCCCTAGTCCCGCTGGCCACATTTGTAAATCTAAGGCACATTTCAGAATTCCAAGTGTTTTATCAGCACTTCACATGTCCCATGTGCAAAGCTCACCAACAGAGGGCTGCGGGACAGTGTTGGAGTGGATGGAGCACACCATGGAGACACGGCCACTGCAAACAACCAGACCACTCTGCACAGAACTGCAGGAGAGGAACAGCCACACAGTCCAGTCTGCTCTTCCTTCCCCTGCCTCAATTCTCATTGTGTTCATGTTCAGCAACAGAAACAGCGAAGCAGGAGCTCTGGTCCAGAGGCCTGGTTTGCCACACTCTTTCCTATAAAATAGCAAAGAAATAGCAATGCAACCTTAAAAGCTATTGGTGCAATGGTCACAGATACAGTTGGCATGTTTCTTTTCCATGCACAAACATCCTCCCTCAAGGCTGCAATAGGTACAGCCCTAACTAAAGGCCATTATGGCTGGGCCATCGTTTCAGGCAAAGACTGTGTTACAGTCCCAGTACTATTCCTAATGCTCCTTTAATTTTTGTTGATTATTTTCTTTTCTGACAAAGGCAGGGCTTTGGTCTGTATAAAATAAAACTTTTTTTTCCTCCTCTTCAAAGCACCAAGCCTAATCCTTTCCTCTTGTTAACTTGTCTTACACAAACATAACACCCACAGTTCATCTGGTGTTACTGTTAAATTCACTCTTTTGAAAGTATACAAAGAACCAGGACTAGTCACTTCAGATGAAGAAATAACACTATTTCTGTGCACCCAATGTATGACAATAAATGGCAGCTTACAGTAGACTAAAAAGATGCAACAAACAAAAGCCAAACTAGACTACTTGTAAAACCATAGTAGGAGAAACACAGAAGGTCAACATGAAGCAGTCAAGCAAAAAGTAAGTACCCTAACAAGCAAATCAAATACCAGTATTTTAAGACAGCATGCTGAATAGATGAAAGGAATTTTCATGAGAGATATCTATTTATCAGCATATAACCACTGCATTCATTATCAGCACAGCTGACGCCACCTGTAGATCTCCCTTCACCTTTTTATTTTTCTGAACACATCTATTTGAAATCCTTGTGTTAAATTAATAAACAGATAAAAACTTTACAGGTATTTTAGGTCACCTTGTTCCTATTAAGCAAAACAGAATAGCAACTAGGTGATTATACAAATCTGCTCCCAACATAAAGTGACACAGCCAGTAATGGAAACTTCCACTATAACTAAACATTAAGAGACTTCCATAAAAAGAAATTACAAAGGATATTTTCCCTCCATTGCCCTTCAATGATCTCTTCAGAGAGCCTATCAAAGGTAGAACAAGCATACTCTATCAATAATTAATACAGCTGTGAATCTGAATCACTTAATCTGAATTTGCTTGTAGTCCTTCCACTATGAAGTATTTTCATGGCTTCACAGAAAACTCATTCTCAATATTTTGTGGGGTTTTGCCTCAAACTTTACACTGAGAGAAGAAAGTGGTCAATATGTTTACCTTACTCATTTGGGAATAAAGGCAGAGATTATTTTTTCCCCAGCTACAAAATAAAATTATAGCTTTAAAAAAAAAAAAACAAACAAAAAACCAAACCAAACCAAAAACAAACAAAAAAATCTCCCAGAAGTTCTAAACTGATATAATCAAAAGTGTAGGATTACTGGCATCAAATGCTTGTATGGGAAACAACCCTCTAAAGATTTTTGCCATTAATATCAACAGAAACAAAATGAGGTATCTTACTTTCTAGTTGTTATCTGGACCATTGAGTCAAAGGAGGACTGTACTTGTGCTTTCAGTACTATCCTACTGATCTAGTTTCTAAACACTGAGGCTGTGACCAGAACAGTCTGCAAAGCTACTTGGAGCCTGTCATCCTGTGGACATTTAAAAAACTGCTATTTATAGGTTAATGCTTTGCAGTGTGTGGATTACACAGTACCTCTGTAATTATATGTCTGGATTAATTAGGATAGCTGTCAGTTCTTGCATAGTGCCAAAGGCCCTTGGCCTGTAACACCTGCCTTTTCAAACACTCCTATCTGTTTAAACAACATGCAATTCATTAAAACAGAGACTGTATTAAAAATATCCTGCAGTATTTTTATAATCTTCAGTACCACATTCAAGGACAAGCTTGGCCCATGTGGTTTGTTTTCCCTCTCCTTCCTTCTAAGACAGATTACCAGTGTCAGAAGCCTGCAAGTCACTTGTGTCTCTCCTAATACACTTGTGTAAAGCCAAAGTCTCAGTTCAGGTAAATCAGCAGTAAATTCACCAGGGTAAGTATCAGCTATTTTGGAATCTCTTCATCAATTATGAAACTACATGATCTCACCAAATTTTGGTTTCAGTTACATTTTGTGCTTTGGAAGTGTTTTACAATGGGATCCATCAGAACCGGTTTTTTGACAGTCACACCATGAAAACGGGGAGATCTGAAAAAAAGAAGAAAAATAAATCAGGGTAAACTTTGCAAAGATTGTCAACAGAGGCAGGCTGTAAACTTGTCAAAGTGGACTCAGCTGCCATCACGTGTCAGTTCATGCCTCCCTACACCCACCCAACCCTGAGAAATGAAGTAAGGAAAACATTCATCCATGCAAGAAGAGGGGTATAGGTAGAGAGGGGAATAATAATAATCCTGCAGAAATAAGATTTTCAGAAGTTACTACTGATTTAGATTTGTCTGTTTCTGGGCATTCAGCTAGGGATAGTTTAAACAGCCAAGATCTCAGGAACTGCTAGACACCCAAATATAAAAATGGCACCTTGGAAAAGACCTCGAATTAAACATGTAGCAATAGCAAAAAGATTAATTTAATTGTGGTGTCTCTTTTTTTTTCATACATATCACTACTATTAACATTCTTCTTGATCCAGTCAAGAAAAAACCCAGCATTTGTGTATACTCCTGGGTAGTTCTTCCTTCCACATCCAAAGCCCAGGTTGGTAATTCCGTGAGCAGCATAAAATCCCGAGTTGTCTTCTGAAGGACAAACTAATGGGCCACCAGAATCACTCTGCATGAGGACAAAGGAACCTTCTTATGAACTTCTGGTTTTAAAATATCAGTTCAGCTAGGAGAGGTCCCAGCTGCTTCCATGCTTGGGGGGTTCTGTTCTTAAAAGGCAGAGAAAGAAACAACCTTTGTTCAAGGGAAGTTACTGTTTTTTGCAATATGAGTAATTAAAATTCTGCTACTAAGGAGTCTTCTGCTGTAAATCACCACAGCCTGTTTGCAAGAAAACAGCTTTGTGAGGTTTTACACTTCCCTTTCCAGAGCCCATCTGGCCATACCCCAAAGCTGATGTGTGTTGCTTACTGTGCATGAGTCCTTACCTTCTTCCAGAGGGAATCCACACAGATCATCCTCTGGGTCACCTTACTGGGAAGGTTTATGTAATAGCTCTGACATGTATCAACCACATGGATGGGAACTTCCAGCTGCTGCAGTTTTTTCCCTTTTTCTCTGTCTTGAAGTCATACACATGCCAGAAACCAGTAGAGGCATGAATTAGTGATTCCAGAAAGAAGCTTCACTCCTGCTCTTTTCAGATGGTCTCAATCTAAATCATCTGACTTCCCTCTTCCCACCTATTTCCCTGCATGTCTAGCTGAGTTTACACCAGTGAAAACTTTTTAACATGTATGTTCTCCGGAAACTAATGTATAGGCAGAATGAATGTTCCAACACAGAACACAATATTTAAAACACAGCCACAACATGATGTTTAAAACACAGTCAACCTTTGAAAAGGTAAAGACTGCATACCTGCTTCATGTGCACCCCACCCTGTGACCACGCACATCTTTGAGGGCTGGACTTGCTTCTCCTTGGCAGGGAGGCACGTGCGGTGCACGTAGTGGTTGAATTCCAAGGGCTCAGCTAGTTGCAGTGAGGCAATATCAGAGTCCATAGTGGCCTCATTAAAACTTGGATGTATGATAAGCTGCTTGACTGACCTTTTCTAGGAAAGCAAAGTTTTTGGGATGACTTCGGAATTTGAGTCTTTAAGCAATTTTGTTTTATGAATTTCCAGACCATATGCAAGATGCCTCACAAGGAGGACGCATTTAAAAGCAGCTGCTGAAGCCACCAGGTTTCTTACATTAGCAAGTCAAGATTATGCATCCGTGACACGGAACAGGGAACATGCCAGAAACTCCATCCAACAAGTTTAGGAAGAAGGTCTTGGAAAAACATTTGTCCAGTGTGAGTGAAGTGGCAAGTTGTGCCCCAATTATTTCTGTCTTACTGACAGTCACTAGTGAATATACAGACAATACTCCTCTCACTCCCACATCCTCCAGGATACTGAGCTTTAGAGCTCATTACTGGTGAAGTCACAGATGTGTTGATACAATTCATTGATATGCAAAGAAGCTGTTGTGTAAATGCAGATTAACGTCACCATGCAAGCTCTTAGATTGCTGCATCATCAACAATCTGAGAGATGCATTTACATTAAAACCAATTTTGCAAGATAGATTTATATTTTATTACTAAGCAGAACACATAGTACCTGTCTGTACTCTTGCTCCTGTTACCACTATCCATAAATCTCTGTATAGTTCCCTAAGGGGAAAAAAAAAAGTTCATTGTCAGGCTGATAGAACATCATTCTTGAAACCTGTGAGTCTTAAAACCTACTGAGTTCCTAGAACGTGTGTGGAGCAAAAGAATCCAGTACCAGTGTGAGCTGTAGGGAGCTGGTGACCATAACTGCTCCAGCCACCCCAGACAGAACCACTGTCACTGGACAGAGACACATCATGCAATTACAGACATTCCCAGGGAAGGGTTCATCCCAGTGTACTTACTTGGAATCAAGGCAGTTGGCAGCTGTGACAACCCATTCTTTGGCAAGAACTGTTCCTCCACAGATAGGCTCATCTGAAATTTGTACACTGACCTGCCAAGGCCATGAGTGTGGTACAGCTTCTTCACCTCCAATCATCCTTGCTGAAGATGAGCCTGGGCTGATTTGAAGGCATTCCACAAATATCATCTGAAACAGAAAGAAAGCACTGATGTTTCAAGAAGTCTTTAGAGCTTAAGATTTGGAGAAGGAAAGAACATTCCATTTAAGGATTACCCCATAGCTTTTCAAGCCTCCGCTCCCCACCCTTTTTTGCTAAATCTTCCAACCTCCCTCATTACAAAGGATCCAAATGTTTAGAACTAGCAGGAGGAGGTGGTCTTAGCAAAAAAAGAGCTGCACCAAGATGAAAGCTACTACTTCAAAAGTTTTAGCCTCAAACCTACAATGAGCACGGACTCATTCCATTTTCCATAAAGTGCTGGAGGGGAAAAAGGGAAGCTCTAAAATGCTGGCTATTATTTTCAATTACCCTGTAGTCTTTGCAATTATTTTCACCAAAGGAAGGAGGTGTAAAATGACATACAAGCTAAATTGTCATTGCATTGCTGTACATGATTTAACAAGATGAAGGAAAAAAGAAAAATTAGGTTCTGCTAAAGCCAAAGCATGTGTTACTGTTCATATTTTTATTTCCTTAAAATATCTTAATGAAGGAATCTGGGATAACAGCAATCATTAAATAATTGTAGAATTTATAGTCCAAAAGTTACTCTCTATCCCCATGAAGAAAATATAACTCGGCTTGGCTTACCTCTTGTAACCTGTATTTCTTCTTCAGTCATATCCATATTTCCAGACTCTTCTTCACTAGTTGAATTTAATGTATCTAAATCTAGCAAACAAGAATGGCAAATGTGTTAGTAGGCTGTCTTGAGTCATATTTGTATTATAAAATCGCTTTTATTTCCTTAATTTTTTGGGGAATAAAGGTGGAGAGATTAGAAGGAATAAATTTCTGGTTTAGGGATCTGTGCTACTACATCCTCACATAGGATGAAATGCCATTTAAAATGCACCAAAATACTCTTACACAAATAAATCTCTCAGATTTTGCGTAGATTCACTGTTTCTTCACCATTCAGTAGGCCTCAGTTTAATGCCTCAATAGGTTCACAATATTTTTTTTTCCACTGAAACAATTTGCTAGAGGAGAATCTCCTTGAGCAAAATAATTCTGAATAGCTGATTTACTGAAGAGCCCTTTGTGCTGCCCCAGAGGGGCATTTTCCCAAGTTACTTGTGTTACCTGCTACATGAACAAAAGAGGCTGTGGCTCTGAATCCTCCAAAGGTCTCTGTTTCATCAGAGTGAAAGACAACCAGCATCACAGTAGAGGACCTTGGGACAGGTGCCAGTAGGGTAAATCCACAAGCTTGGCTAAAGATGAGAAAGCAAAGACTCACTTTGCAGATTAACAGGTACTTTTTAATCATTCTCTCCTTCAACAGCAGGTATGCAATATTCTGTGTATTCCAGCTCTCACACAGGAGGGTAAAAAATGACCATATACAGGAGATAAGGAGACTGAGGCTGAAGGATTGTTCTATCATTACTGATATCCTGTCCTTGCTCAGTAATGACCTCATCAGCACATCTCTGGCAGGATTTCACAACAGTCTATTGCAGCACCCACACCCACAGGTTGCCATTACACGTGAAACACACCAATTATCTGATTTCCCCTTATCACTGTTTCAGAAGTAGTCTCTGCTAGTGCCAATCTAAGTACCAGGTTCAAGCAAGTGCTGAAATCAGCACAGATTGGGACAGGCCTTCCTCTCATTCAGTGTAAGCCAGGTGGCAGGAACACTGCTCTGGAGTAAAGAACAGCAGATTTCTTGGGTGTTTTCCGTGTCTGATCATCACTATAAAACCAAATTATTGTGTTATGTCCTTTTCTTCATTTAAATGAATTCAGAGCTGCATTTCATACAGAATTTAAACACACAAAAGCGATTCTGTTCTATGTGGTTTTGTCTCTGTAAGTGGAACAGAGGCAGCAATACCTGCAAGTACTTTTCAAGGTACTGAAACTAGTACCTATAACATCACCTGACACTCTACAGGTGAACTTGATTTTAGATTGGACAGTAGGGCTAGTGAAAGTCATAAAAGAAACAGGTCATCCCCAAAATTAAGAATCAAAAGTCAAACCCATTTCCTCCTCTTTTCCCACATCTTCATACACAGCCACTGCATTATAGGAGCAATTTTCACTCGCTTCTCCTTCAAAGGACTGGTAGGTAAGCTTTAAATAAAAAATGAAAAACTGAGCCTTGTTTTTGAAAGTCACATAGAAAAAATTCAAAGATCTGTAACAGGGTCATTAGTATTCTGAATGATTCTTGTAAGGTTTGCTTTCTGTGACATTCAGACCTCCCATAGGTGATACATAATACATTACATGTTCTAGAAGAATCTGTCATGATAAAAATCAAACCCAGGAAACCCTATTTTACTACAATCTATAGGACAAATCAAAACCTCTCTGTCTTTTGGGATTGAAAGTGATTTCTCTTAACTGCATCCAGCAGCATTATTCAAGCTCATGTTGCTTGATCTTCCTTGTCCTTAAGCTGAAGATTTCTTGTTAAACCAATGGTGCCACTTCCACCCCATAGACATAAAAAGGTTTCATGTAATACCTTGATTCCATGGTCCTCTGGTGCATAAATAATCCATTGACAGTCTGCCATGTTGCTGTAGTGTTCTGGGTAGTGTGTACTCTGTAAGACTCTTTTTTCAAAAAGGACAGCTGGGGGCTCACAGCCAGAATCTGAAAGTCCAGGAAAACAAAAATGGAAGCACTGTGACTTCTTATTAAATAATTCACAAAAAAAAAAAATCCAGAAAAACTCTTGTGATGCTTTTTCACAGCTGAGGAAGAGAACAGGACAAGAGCAGGTCTGAAGAATATTTGCCAACTTTGTTTGGAGAGGAAAGCGGAGACAAACAGAAACAGAGGATGTGTCTTTCTGATGGGCTGTGCAGTGGCAAAGCCCTCAGAGGGGATTCCTCCCCACACTCTGCCCTCGCACTCTACAAAGGAAAGAACCAGCTGGAAAAGCTGCAGAAATGGGAACAACATAACTTAAGACCCAGCAGGTGGCCCTAGGGCCCGCTCCCCAGGGATGGTGAACTGCTCTGCACAGCATAACCAAAAGCAATTCTCTATGACATGAATTTTAGCATCAACTGCCTCCCTCAGGGCCCCTCCATGAAAGCCCAGGACTAGCAAAGCAGCTTTCATCTGGAAATTCTGCTCCTTTGATTAATCTCATTAATTGAGTTTTAAAAACATTCTGGAAGCAGAGAAGGAAATGATATCTTATATAAAGTGGGTGGAGCAGATGCAGAGTTGAAGGAGGACTTCTCTCAACAGCATCTATCCTATCTTGTTCTGGCATCCTAGTTTTTCCCACAATGTCACATGGCAGCCTAGCCACACTTACCTTGTTCATTACTTCATCCACATAGGAATACCACAGGAGCTTCCTCTGATTTATTTTCTCCTGATTTTCATTGTCAGATCACCGCCCAAGAGTGCAGACAGGTGTATTACTAAACTTAGACTTACCAGGAAGAATATCTGGGTGTAAGAGCTTTGTAGGTCATGGAAAAACCGGTTCCATAATCCTCACTGTCAGAAACAAATTTCAGCCTCATACTATTGGAGCCAAACAAAATTGCTAATGGAGGATCTCCTTTACAGAATTTCCCTGAAATATAATATTAGAGAATCATCACTGTTTAAAGTCTTTAGTCACTTGAGAAAACCTGCATATACCATTTCTAGTACTTAGCTATAAAAATTTTATGAAGGAGAGGAAATTGCCTATTCATTCATCTATTTTCCCTATTAAACCATTAGCCCAAGTAGATTCACACTATTAAAAATTGAAAATCATTGACACTAGAAAGTCATATGCTGACACGTTTCCTTACCAGGCATTTTCCAATCTCTTCTCTCCCCACACTCTTGATCTTTTACTTTAGATGCTATGTCACAACACATTAATCATGAAAATGCAAGTAAAACAACCAACCTCCATGTCCTCATTGGGTGCCCTTGCTGTTGGAATTAAAGAGTACTGTGACATGTTATAGATCTTAAAGGTCTTTTCCAACCAGAATGATTCTATGATTATTTCAAAGAATAAAGGGACAACAACTCACCCACAAGATTGCCATCTTTTAATAGACTGATAAAGAACCATAGTCACAAAATGTTTCTGGCTCTATATCAAAGTGGGAAAACTGAAGCCATATGTAATTTCCTTCTGGCACAAATAGAGTCCATATACACAATCTGGAATAACAAATTAGTTCCTTTTCTCAAAAATACAACAAAAAAACCCCCAGAACCTACCCTGGTATGGGGAATAGTTTCTGGGGAAAGGCTGTGTTTTGTCTACTTGCTGGTGGTTTTCATAGAACTGTTTGGGACTTAGCAGGAAAATGTGATTCCCCTTCCCTGTCACGGAGTTTGCTATCCTGAACGCTACAAAATGCTGTTTTGGAGAGTTAAAACAAAATAGAAGGAATCAGGTTTAAGACATCTGTCATCATCTGTTCCACCAAAAAGATCAAACACCTGGAGAATATTGTGAGACTCAAGATTGCTCAGCTGTACTTTGTTTCTCCTGGCAGACTGATAATAGGTCTTCTCTCCTTTATTTGGAATTATATAAGTCAGTGTTAAAACACATAATTTGGGAGCAAAAATGAAGCCCTGCCAATGGGCCATCGTTTTATTGTAAAAATGGCAGTGCTTGCTTTCTACCTTAACAAAACTATTTTTTATGTGAAGATTTCAGTACAAATTATTTTCAGGGAGGAAAAATGCAAACTTCAGGACATAACAAAAGTGTTCATGGCAGCCCATTTGTAACAGTGTCCTTAGTTATGTTACAACAGGAGACTTTTGCAACAGTACAATATGCTGACACTATAATAGAAGAAGCAGAAGCTTTTCTCTCCGACCAAGTGTCGCTAGAAATGCAATTAATTACAAAAATCATCTCCTCTTGCCTTTCCTTCTCTTTGCAAGGTAACACCAGAAAAGCAACATTTGTCAGCAACTATGTGTAAGAAAACAAATTTAAGGACTCAAGTACTTATAAGATTATCTTACCTGCAGCATCCTAGAAAGCCCAGTAAAAAATTTCAAAAAGACACAAACAGCACTTAAATACCCAGTTCTCCCTGGCCACAGCAAGTCTACACAGACTGGCCACGTGCCCAAGTGTGTTTATCGTTTGAGAAGTCTCACTGTAGATTACTAAAATTAAAAGTTTTAAGATCTAGTTCAAAAGAGTTGTTTCTAGTATTTTTATGTGAACTTGTACCTAGATGAACAGTGTCCAAGAACAACATTAACAGGGCAGGCAACATAAGCCTTCAGTTTTAAAACATGTTACATCTGGGGATGGCTTTTATGGGTTTTTTTTTGGTGTTAGGTTTTATTCTCAGAAATAGACAAGTAGATTCATCACAGACTGTGCAAAAGCACTACTAATTCACCACATACTTTCTATTTAGAATGTACATTTTTATACAGTATCAAAATCACTAAGTTTCATGCATTGCTAGAGGTTCTATTGTACATTTTCCCCATTAATTTTATTTGAATTTCAATAAAAATATGGCCTTATATATAGCTGTTTTAAAGACAATTCATTTTTTCAAGTCAGCAATGCATAAACACAACCCTCCAAATGTAATTTTGTTTTACAGAAGCAGAAGGAAAAAGTATCTACTTAAAGTATACCTTTAAAAGTGCTTTGATGAGTCGAAGATTCTTTACATTTCTTCCTTTGTAAATTATACATCTGACTATTTTAGGGGTCTTTTTATGCTCTAACACAGATAGAAGATACTGAAAAAACCCACTGTACTCGCCTGTGGAGCTTCTCATTTTCAGATCTAATAAGGGGAGGATAGGGAAGGGGGTGGAAAAAGAAGAATAAATTACTGTAGTTTCATATCCGCAATATAGGCTTTACTTTTATCTGTGTGAAACAGCAATTTTATACAACTAATACTGAGGCAAATTCTAGTGCTTCCTGGGAACATCCAGTACCTACAATAAACTAGGGCTTAGAACCAAAACAAAATTGCAAGTTCAGGCAATGCTGACTTTGGAACAAACAATTTTGGAGTGGCCACTGCTAGAATTAACCACACATTGACAGGCCACTGCTCAGCCTGAGGAGCACAGCACTCGCTTTCTACACACGTGCTGAGTAAATACCTGAAATACATTTCAGGGAAGAGCAGCAGGATCCAACTGGCACCGTCACATCAAGGATATGGAGACATTCAGCCTGGCAACAACTGCAGTTCACATCTTTCACACCACTGAGACAGTACAAAGGGGTGAGCAAGCAAACCCTAGTGCAGTGCAACTGAGGATTGTGTTTTCTTTCCCTATCGAATCACTTCTGCTGCTCACTGGAGCCAACACATTTTAATTACTGCAATAGCTAATCCTATTATTTTTTCCTCATAATAAAATGAATCAGCTAGTAAATATTTAAAAGAAGACCCTATCTCTCTTTTCTAAATTGAAACCCCAAACATTTTTTAGAAACTAAACCCTTTTCATTTTTCTCTGACATTGTGTTCATTTTTCGAATCACAAGTTGGAGATGTTTTCTAATACGGAATTTTATTTTTCCCCTCTCATTTTTTTTTTATTCTTATTGACTAGCTAAACCTCTTAAATAACCCTCCCTCAGTTTTTCAGTTCTCTGTGGAAGATTTAACACAATCTCCAATACCTTTTAACAAAAATAGCCCACAGTGGAAGAAAATATTAATTCAGTTTCTTAATACACTCAGTAAAATTCACCCCTGTCATTTCTGTCTCCAACTCCACGGCTTTGGAAGTAATGGCTAATTGTGACACTGTTCCCATGATAGGGGGCACACTTGGCCTTTTGGGCAGAGTAAACAAAGAAACTTTTGAGCATGACTTGACCCCATGTTGTCAAATGTCTGATCCAACATGTTCTAGCCAAGAAAAATGACAAGTGACTTCAAAGAAGTGCATATGGAATCTCAGACACTTTCAACTGGTGAACTTCCACTTTAAAAAAAATAATCAAAAAAAAAGGCTAACAGGCTAGCTGGATAAAAGGACCATTCTTAAAGTTAAAAAAAAAAAGGGTCCAAGTAGGGAGCAAAGTATAGCAGAAGGGTAGCAAACATTTACAATGCTTTCAATTTGGTTTTGGCAACTGCTAATCAGTATCATACATTTAAAGGGATTGTGAAATGCTACAGTGTTTTGCCAGGAAACAATGGGAAAAATTTAAGTGCTACATCCTGAAAAGACAAAAGTAAATAAAATGTCACGGGACAGAGGAGTTGTCACAAGTGAAAGACACATTACTGTGGATACTTAACACCAACACTCATGTTCTCTTGAATCCAGGAAAGCACTGCACTGAGGCCTGTGAATATTCCAGGACAAAAGGGGGCCTCCTGAGTCTCCCTGCAAGAGAAACCCAAACAAGCCAAAGCTCGTGACCCACATCTTACAGAAGTACCACTGAGGAGCCTTAAGAAGTTTATTGAGCTTTCTTTTGTGCCACAGTAACAAACCTGCAACATATACAGTTATTTTACATACTCATTTTAAAAGGAGCTGTAAATACACACAGCTTTTTTCATTATGTTTAGTCGGGATTGTCAAGAGGGGAAAAGACAGATTAATTCCCTCATGAGCGTATCTGTGTCGTGGTTGAGCATGTAAAAAGGAGTGAGAAAAAAAATCACTTAACCTTTATCTCACTTCCTTTCCTTCCTGCAATCCAAGGCAATACTTTCGGCTTTCAATCTCAGGATCTTTGCAACCTTAATTAACTTATCAAGTGTTCTGAGGTTAGAAAGCCCTAAGCATCATTGCACTTGGGATGCATTGCAAAATTGCTCTCAAGAACCTGTCATACAACTCATACAGTAATTAAAATGGGATCATGTCATTAAGTTCATTGCCCCACACAGAACTTTTGAAAGAAATCATATATCAAAATAAATACACTCCAAATCTCACAGTTTACATTGTATTTATTTACTTTGGCACGCAGAGCCTTCAGCTTCTGAGAAACACTCCTGAAAGGCACACAAGGCTCTGTTCAATTGACCTGGCAGGCATCTTTTCCTCCATCTGGAAATCCAGCACAGATTACAGTGTCACCTTGGATGCGTTTCTTTAAAGTTGATAATGCTCTTGAACACTCTTTTGCTGTTCAGGATTGGTAGATCAACTTCATACGAGACATGAGGGAGGAGTCCATCTGAAATACACAAAAAATGTTCATAAGAAGTGCTGAAAGGTGAACTTGGTGTCACTGCTAATACACCACAAAAATTAGTTGGAGACTTGCCCCAAGATATTTTACGGTTACAAGCATTTTTTTGTATATAAGCAGTTTTACTTGAATAAATTCCAACATGTTTCAAAATTGAAATTCAAATCTACCCTTTGTAGTGACCAATTTTGAGGTAATTCACAGGTAGGCATAGAAGCAAAGACCTCATTTTGAGATTACAGTTCTTTAGACCAGTTGATAGTTTCTTCTGGTCTGGCTCTGACCTGTGCAATCAAGGTTTTAGCTTCACAAATAAGACACTGAAAAACCTGAATGTCACAGAACAGTGTGAGTGACTTACTTCCATCTAAACAGCCCCAGCCACAAGCAGTGCAGGCATATCCTGCTTCAAACTTTTCACCTGGATGAGGAAGACATGCTGGCAAAACTGTTGTACCTGCCACATGTGGATGTGGATTTTATTGGTAAGTATTTGAAAGGACATTAACAAAAAGCTTCCTTTATAAGTTTTCAGGTTTGGGGTTTTTTTTTTAAACCAAAAATTTTTGTTATTTTTGTGGAATCTGAAAAATTAGTCTGATATTGACAATTTATCCTCTGCATGCAAAGAGCAATAGCTTTTTCTTCATGGGAGAAAAAGATCATAGATAATTATGGTCTTACTGAAGTTGAAGGCTCCATCCAGCTTCAGAAGGGGAATGTCATAGTTCATGGGCCTTCTGGGGTCAAAGTTTGGATGCTTAATGACAGATTTAACAGGCAGTGTCTGCTCGCCATTCTCCCCGAGCCTCAAATTATGCTCTCCTGCAGTGACAAACAAGTCCTGGAGTAGGTTCCTGTAGAAAAGAAGAATTACAGTTCAGCTACACAATCTTCAAAATGAAAGGCAAAAATATAGTTGTTTTTAGACAGAGAGATTATTACTTCTGATACCTGATGATCAGAATCTTCCAGAAGAGTTGCTCTGTTTGTGTGGCTTTGAGGTGTTTTTACAGGGGGTCAAGGGCTGGTGGGAGGGGAACACAGGCTGCTTTGGGTCCACTGAGGTGGTTTAATTCTTGCTAGAAAAGTTGCTTTGTGTTGCTGCTCCTATCTGAGGTGGAAGGAAAGTGGAAAATGTGTTAACCTACTAACAACGTGAAGTTTAAGAGAAAAGGGAACAAGGAGTGAAGGACAGAGGGTGAGGAGGATAAAATAAGCAGCAAATGTTGGTTAGTAATTAATCTGTTAGAAGATTGGTAGAAAATATAAGATTTAAATGGGATTGGGTTCTGTTGGGTTTGGTTGTGGGTTGGTTTTGGGGTTCTTTTTAATTGCAATGAGCTGTGCTTTCAAAGGTCACTGATCACATCCTAACAGTTTGCAGGGTCATTGCTGGAAAACTGGAAAACCGGAAAACCTATTAGCTCAATAAAATTAATGATTTCATATTTTAAACAAGATATAAATATAATGTATTATATTTATGAATCTAATAGTTCTTAACTGAATGTAGACTTAGTTTTGATATGGATTGAATGTATTTATGTTTGTATAGTTGTGCAGGAATTTTGATTTTCCAACAAACTTATTTTTCACGAATTTTAACTATTATAATTCCAGTGACTATTTTAACTACTGTAATTCCAGTGACTCAGTTTGAATTACACCTGAATTTGATGTAACAAAAGAATCAAGCCTAATTCTGAAGATAAGCCCATTATTGCCTACCATTTCCCCAAAATGAAAGACAACATTAAGATGCACATAAAAGATCCTGAATGGCGCAAACACAAAACTCCCTTCAATTTTAATATGCTTAAAAAAAACACCACCACCACCCACATACACACTGAGAGAGGGGAGCTTTGCATTCACTTTTTTCAGCCAGAGCCTTTGTGTTACTCCAAAGATCAATGGATAGAAAAGCTGAGGGAACTACCTCAAGATTCTCAATTCCTAGAACCACAACGTGAAATAACTTCAGCTCTCAACCACGTTTTTCCCTCTCCCACTGTAGAAATAAAGTCACATCTCAGAGAAGAAAAATGTGATGCCTTCAGTTGGGATTCATGTACTTTTTTAGACCAGCAGAGGTCACTGATAAATTCACTTGACTTGCAAAAGACAAACCATATAATTTCATCTCAACATTCCCACATGAATCCTAATTAGTCTTCTAGTTTAGGGTTATAGCTAGGTTTGGGTAAACATTGCAAAAAAGGTGTGCAAACTAAAATTTTGCAGTAACAACATTCACCATGCTATCAATTCATTTTTCAGAAAGATTCATATCCATGATTTTTCACTCAAGCATTTTTTGGGGAGCAAAATGTTTGTCTGAAAACTAAGCAAATAAATATTTGTGAAAAGGGCAGAAACAAAAGTTTTAAGTCAATGCCATTTTGAACTTATTTAATTTCATCTGCTAGTAAAAATGGTGCTGACAATTGATTGTTTCCATACCGAGGACAAACAAACAGTTGAAAATAAGGCAGATGTTTCACAAGTGATCCAAAACAACTGATGCATGTTCTCACAGTGCTTGCAGGTTCATGATAGCTTTAAACCAGCCCAAGTTCAGGCTGCTCCCAAAGAGGGCAGTTGTGCCCCAACTCCCATGGAAGTGTCTGTTACAATTCTTTTCCAAGCTTTGTGACAACCTCCTGTCTAGTTCTGGTTAATAAACATGTCTCAGCCAAATGTTCTGCAATATTAAAGCATCATTTATCACACTCTGGGGATTTTGAAGTCCCTTTTGAGTGTGAAATCCCTGAAAGAGCAAAGTATCTTTATAAGACTTTTAGCAGCACAGCACAATTTAAAATATACAGTCACCTAATAACTCAGTAGTTCAAATAGGAAAGTTGCTACCACCCCTGCACAACTTAGGTCTGCTCCACATCCTCCCAGGTTTTAGATCAGATTCCCCTGGATGCAGACTGCTTTCTGAGACTTCATGCCTTTAACATTTCCTCCCTCTCTCCCGCTGTGTTCCCGTTACAGCCCACCCCAAAACTGAGTGTTCTTGCCTCAGAGACACATTTAGTTATGTTTTATTACTTCCAATTAACTCAAGTATGGACTCAGAGGGAGCAGTAAAACTGAAAGGTTGCCTTTTGATAATGCTTTTTACTTCAACTTGCTCCATCCTCCTAAATTCTTCAGTTGACCCGTCAGGGCACAGAACAACGTGCACAATAACAAGAATGTTCAAAAGAGCACTTGGTGGAATAAGAACCCACAGAAACCCCCCCAAGATGCTGTTTCCCAGAACATTTGGTCTTTAATTCAGGATTTTGGGTACACATCAAGATCTGCTTGAGTCTCCTGTGCAAAAAGAAAAGGAGTGCAATTTTAGTGGAAAATCCACTAAGCTCTTTTTCATCCTGCAAAGCGCAGTAATTGCTGTATGAGCCAAAAGCAAGCAGCAACCAAGAACTAAAGGAAACAACACCTGCTGGCCTTTTCCCATTTTTCACTAAAGCTCCATTTTTCCTGCTTCGAGAGCTCACCAATATATAAGAATTATAGATACAGGCTCAGTTACTGACATCTATGATGAGTAATGTTACGACGTACATTTTCCTTTTGTAACTAAGTCTTCTCCTGGACAGAGATTTTACCTTTCAAAGTAAACAAGACCAAAAACAAACAAGATGAATAATGTCAACAAATGCAAAGATACTGCAGGCTATGAAGAGCACAGTGGATTAAGATATCAGCCAAAGCTTCCCTTGGATAGAGTCCAGCCTTATATCTATGGCATAACTGATTAATTGGGAAAGGACAAATGAAGGAAGAGAAAGGGAACAAAATTGTGCTTAGCTCAAGTATTTGGCCTGAAAATGCTCAAAATGCTTCATAAGGAAAGATCAATACTGACATTTTTCAGATACAGAAGATCTGGCATATGGATTAAACAAATCAGCAACAGTCAGAAGCAAGCTGGTCACTTAGTTCCCAAATGTATAGCATCCTCTTGGGAATGTTTTGTTGCTAGTGAAACACATAGTCTGAATACCACAGTGGTAGCTCCTCAATGTAGATAAAAAATAGAGGAACACTAAAGCATCCATTTTGTGTAACTGCACTATTTTATACATATTAGCAATCACTGCAGGTATCCAGACCCTGTATTTAGCACCCTCTATCCAGAATAGCAAAGGTGGAAATTCAATGAGCCTGAGCCCATGAGGAATTGTACGACAGAGGAGCTATGACGAGCAAAAATGGTGTGAGCTCCTGGCTCTCTTCACTCGGATATCAAGAGAAGTTTCTTCACCCAGAGGGTGGCTGGGCAGTGGAACAGGCTCCCAGTGGGAGTGGTCACAGCACCAAGCCTGATGGAGCTCAAGGTGTGAGCCACTGGAGAAACAGGCTGCCAGCTGTCCTGCACAGAGTCCATCCATCCATCCATCCATCCATCCATCCATCCCTCCTTCAATCTTCCCCCCACTGTCAGAACTGAGCACACGGAGATGTCTAAGGATGCCTCCCACAGCTCATTGTTGCAGGACAAGCACTCCAACTAATAAGCACATTTTTGTCTCATACCATGTTCTGACAAGGACAGTTGAAATGATGCTGGTGAGACCTGGCACGATTTGGCTGAACAAACATTCACCAAGCAGGCTTTGGAGACCAAGAGACTGAATTGTTTTTCACAAGAATGTAATTTCTTCTCTCAGCATGCCCAACGATAAAGAATAGAATGCTTTCCAGTGTAACTAGGTAAGTCACTTGAAAAAAAATATACACCTATTAAGATGTATTATTTGAACTCCTCACCATCCTTTTGATAGGATATCATTCTGATGTTGACCAGCTTGTAGGAAAAAAATTTCAGCTCACCTAAAGAAGCATCAGCTCGCACTTTGCTCACTGTCTCTCTCACATTTGGGCCTAATACTAGGTAAAAATAACTGGACATGTTAGATTTTCCATGTCTAAACAACCCTTCTGATTAAGCATTTCTGTGATGGCTTTAACATTTTATCATGAAACACCAACATCAAATACAATTGACACTACAGTCCTAAACTTTATCCCCTCTCCAGCTTCAGGTAGGTACTCGTGCCCCTGATTACAGACTCTCTTCCAACAAGGGTCAAAACATCATAACAGAGCAAGTTATACAAGACTAATTTGACTGCTGCAAAGCAGATACTCATAATAATTACATCAAATCAACCGCACATCTCTTATTATGTTGATGCCTAACAGACACATAGCTCAAAATAAATCAAAGAAATTACTTGATTCTTGGAGAGCACAGTGAATATATTTTAACATCTGATTTTAATGTGCAAAAGATTTACAGTATTACAGTGCTTGCAGAATATGTTCAAAATACACAAATATGCCACCTCAGGCAAGCAGCAGCGAGAGGAATTCTTGCAGGATTTTCCAGAAACATACTGAAGGTAAAAATGTATTATATCAGCCTGGCACTGCTGTCAGTATAGTGACTGCACTTCACATCACATCAAGAGCTGGACATGAAAGGAGAGCACTCCAGGTAACTCCACGCATCGTTGCACAGCCTGTTTCACGGCGGGTACCGCTGCCTTACAGGGACATGGAACTGAGCCCAAACAGTAGGGAGAGGTGAATGATTTGTCAAACTGGCTTATAAGTCCAGGAGGAGGAAGTTCAAAAGTAACCCGTGTATTTTCTCTTGATCAGCCAAAAGAGACCAGCTTCCACTCTTACAGGAGACTGGCACATAACCACGGTTGGTTTGCTCTCGGCCAGGCTTGTATCCATGGCTAAAGCACTTATTTTCAGGACCTGGGAGAAAACGCAATCAGAGAGCAGGCTCACAGTCCCCAGCTACTGGTTTAGACTGAGAGATCAACCCAGAAACGAGGGGAGAACAGTGACAAAGCAGCATGCTCATAAAGCTAACTTGTACTGTGTCAGAACTGTTGAAAGGTGGATTTAAAAATTTTAGGGGGAGCTTTCCGGGATGAAGTCTGGGGAGTGGGTTCGGGTTTGTGAAAGATTGCAAGATATACAGTCCCCACTTTTGCGCGTGGAAAAGAGAGAGAACAAGAGAGACTGAAACTGTAACGAAGTTAAAATCAGAACTATGTCTCCTGACACTACCAGAGTAATGTGGGAAGCACAAGCAAAGTCGGCCCAAGCACAGAAAACAAGTCAGTCTGGAGAGACGGGGAGAGCCAAGCCAAACAGAATTACTGAACGATGATGGGATATCCCCTTTATTTTTAATTAAAATACAGCCAATAGTAGGATCCATCGCATTCACATTTACGCTTCTGGCTGCCCCCCAGCAATCTTGGTTGCTCTGTCTCAACTCTGCCATGAGGTGGCAGAGCAGCACCATTTCTGCCGCGGAGGTGGGTGATCTACATCCTGTAATTTGGTGTTGCCTGGTGTATAAACCTGCAGCCACGCAAGCAGCTGTAGAAATCAAAATCAATCGCTTTCCCTCTGTACATTTTGCAAGACAAAATTCGTTCAAATACGGCGACATATCTAAAGTAATATCAAATAGTTCACGATCATTAACAGACTGTGTAGAAACGAATTTCAATCTGTTTTCACAGATTGTAGCGAAGGCTTCAGGAAAAATGAGAAAACTGCAAAGTTATCTAATCATAATGAGGAACCACGTGATGAGTAACAGTGACATGTAGTCAGCACAGATCTTGCTGCAGGGCTTTTGTGTGGCTTTGCCAGTTTTTCGTCTCATTCTCAATGCTGAAGATACCAGGGACAGTTATTTGCAAACCCTTTCTACCCCACAGCAAACCTAAGTAGGATTCATCCTAATACAAATAGATGCACTGATCCCAAGTCATCTGGGTTTAAGCTTTATGTAGCTTAGAATCCTCAAGCTGAATTAATATTCCTATTTTTTCACTTCCATAACTAACCCCTTGCTTGCAAGCAGCTTGTACCAATGCAATCACCTGCAATATCTGCTGCCACAAGGGACTTACAGCTTAGGTACTACCAGCAATGGAATATTAGTTCTTTCCTTTAGGGAAAATGGGTTGTACTTCAGTAAATATCACACAGTAGAATGAAAGAAGGGAAGTAGAAAACTTTTCTCTTGAAATTGAGGGGATTCCCTGTCTCTGCAACGGTTGATGTAGCCATAAATACCCAGCAGGAAATGAGAACTCTGCCTTACAAAATATTCAGTACTTAGAGTGTGCAAACACAACTGAAGTCTTTGGAGAAATAATTGTGACAGGGTGAAGAGACAGAAAGAGTAAAAGCAAAAAAAGCTAAAAAATGGAGATACTAAAAAAAAACAAACAAACTTTTTTATATGTATGTAATATGATCATGCTGCGAAGTAGAGACATGGATGTACAGCCATCTCATCACACATCTGTTTTGGAAGGGATAAATTACAACTGTCTCAGCAGTATTTGGCAAAGTTGACAGAGATTAAGGGTTTAGGTTACTACTATCAGGCCTGCAATGACAGGCCAGAGCAAGCTCCCAGCAGCACATTGCAACAAAACAACAACAGAAGAGCCTTAAAAGCTCAAGAAAATTCATTTAAAGGAGTTCCCAGGGCCTATGTGAAACCTCAACAGGTGGAACACTGAACTGTGCCCCTGGTCAGTTCCCTTGCAGCAATTCAGTCAAGAACTGGAGGTCTTTAAGGAGCATCAGAGAATGCTACAGAAACCATGTTATTCTCAAAGTCAGGGAGGGGCTTTTGCCTTTCATCTGCAGATGTCAGATATTCACACAATGAGCAGGAGTTGAAGCTGCTGAATTCTTTACAAAACAACTGCAATACAGTCCACCTACACTAAGCAGGCAAGTTTTAATGCCAGCCCTCTTTCTTTGAGGCAGTTATTTCTGGCACTGGGAGATTGGGCACTACATTTACTCACGGCTCAAAGACGTGTAAATTCAACCAATGCAGACTTAGTGTTACATTAAAATGAACAAGCTTTATTCTCAAGTTGATATAAACAGGAGACAGAACTAAACCACCTACAAATTCTGTTCATGCCTAAGACTTCATTGCCATGGGGTTTGGCCACAGAGTTATGAGCAGCACTGTGCTGATCACGCAAGATCTTTGGCCAGTTCTGAAAAAAAAAAAAAAAGCCAAAAAAACCAACCACACAACAAAGTAGACAGCAAATACTAACTCCCTACAGAAAAAAACAGCTGAAACACACTGAATAGCAGCGTTTCTTTCACAACTTTGTTCACAATGCAACCCTTTTTATATAGAAAAGTGCCATGTCAAGCCCTCAGAACGCTGCAGTTCACAAATACTGCAGAATGCTGTAGTTTTGTGCCACTCTGTGCTAGTCTATATTGAATTAGCACACATCACTTGCTGCACTGTTCCTTGCTCTAATGCAATATGTATGGGGTTGCATCACTAATTCATGAATTAGGAACTCTCTACCTTCTCTAGAGCAACAGTCAGGGGTAAACTCTAGTTTTTGATATCTTTTCGTGTAAAAAAAAGCCTCAATATATAAACCTTGAGTGGTACATTTGCGTATGGACAGATGGATGGAAGGAAATGGGGTAGGAAGGATAAATCTGCAGCCAACTTCAGTGAGGCACATCTTTACTTCCAGACTAATCTACCAAAAAAAGAAAAGAACCCAAAGCAACCAAAGAAAGGAAAAAAAACCCCAAACCAAAACAACAAAAAAAGTGCAAAAAACCCAAACCAAACACTCCCCCCCTCAAAAAACAAACAAACAAAAAAAAAAACCCACCCTAGTATTTCTACCTGCAACATTAGAGGTACCCCTGTGGGCTTGGTATAGTTTTTGGAATACTGAACTGTTCCTAGGTGGCAAGAAAGCAAACTGAAAGGTTCCTGCAACTTCAGACCCTCTCTCAACTTGCAGGAAGGATGCCAGATTTAGGACTATGAAGAGTTAATAATTCAAGTAGTCTCCAATATTGTCATTGTTACAGGCAGGAAAGAATCATGCAAGAAAGGAGTGATTACTTAATAGGTGTGTTACAATGTGAGTCACTTTTCAAACACCAGACAGAGTTTAACACTGCAGTGCCCCAAAGCCCATCCTGTGGACTGGGATTCAGCACTGAGCACAAGAAACTTCTGGTTACAGCCTGATTTTCTGTGCTTTCACAGCCTTTGTCACTTGGGAGCTGTGTCCAGCCAAGGTTCTCCTACTGCCTAGATTAAATTAAAAACAAAGTTGACACACATAAAGCAACTGTCTACAAAAGTGGAGAAACCTGGACAACAGAATTTGGGTGCACTTTGCCTTAGAACTTCCTAAACCAGACATTTTATTTTCTTTTTAGTTACACTCATTCATTCCTCATTCTGAAATACCTGGTTCATGGTGCAAAATTCTATTATTAAATGATACAAATAGGTTTTGCTTACATTGCACAAGTGGTCACTGCAAAGGACAGAATAGCAGAATGGCTAAAATAATTAAAAACAAGCAAAAAAAACCCCAAAATGAATTCAGAACCTCTGAACTGCCACTCTTCTGTTGCACATTTTACACATGTTTCTGACCATTTGGACATCAGAAACTTCAATATGTAAAAATTCATTTGAGGAGCTATAGAGGAGTTATGAGAAGTCCAGCTGAGGTTGATAGCCTTGACTTTTTGGCCAAAAAACTGAGGCCAGAGGAAGCTCCATTTTGCCATAGCTTGATTACTATTGGCACCAAAATGTCCCAGCAAGCACTGCAGCCTCCATTAGTGTAAAGTTCTCCACTATAGAGAGCTTGTGATTCTTGAAGTATAAAAATGCCGCTTTTAGAATTAGTTTGTTGGTTATCAAATCATCTGCTGCTGTGTAGCTTTAATTGGCCAACCTCAAATGTCATCTGAGCTGGGTTGTTTGCTTGTTTAGACATTTCTCCCTTTCAGGAAAATTCTCTTTACTCAGAACAACTCTCTTTCCCAACGAAGTGTTAAGAGTAATTTTGCACAAGAATAATAGAACGGCTTGGATTGGAAGGGACTTAAAGATCATCCAGTTCTACTAAGCCCTCTGCTATGGGTATGGACACCCCCCACCAGACCAGGTTGCTCAAAGGCTCATCCAGCCTGACCTTGAATCATTGGAAATAGTTGGCTTAGCCATCCAAAGCACCCTTGGTGCAATATCTGTTTCAACAGAAGACTCACTTTGCCCTTTCAGTTGCACTCCTGCAGTTGGAATCAACAGGAGCAGAATCAGGCCTGGCCTGTTTGCCAAGTTCCACCCCGAGAGGCTTTAGGCTGCAGAGTTTGCTGTGGAAACCCTGGCAGACTCCTAACAACAGGGAGACGTTGCAGGAACACGAGCGTCGCGGAGCCGGCGTTCGGAATTTCCCACATTCCCCATTTCCACACGCAGAGCGTTCGGAGCCGTGTCAGCAGTGACAGGGTGCGGCATTGCCGTGTCACAGGAGAGATAAACAGGTGTGTGGAACCAGAGATTAGAGAGCTCTGTCTCGGGGCATCCCAGCACCGTGACATGGCACGGCGCAGAGTCAGACAGCGGGCGAGCAGCAGCTGCCACAGCAGCCCATGTTGCACGGCCCAATTGAGTTTTCAGAAACAGAGCAGGCAGTAATTACCATCAACACGCTCTCTGTCTGTTCATCACTGCTCACCCAAAGGTCTGCGTGCGACAACAGCCCATTGTACCAGCCCTGCTGTCAAACCTCCTCTTTTGGCTTGCTCTCCCCTATTCAAATGGGGTTGTCACTCCATCAACACACTGAAGCAACAGCATCTGCAGCATCGTTATTAACACCCTACCAGCGCTTTTGGCCACTGCTCAGCTGTGCATTCAAGCTGGCTTTAAAAACTAACTCCACAACACAGCTCCTACAGAGTTGTAGAAAAAGTAAAGCTAAAATTATCCCCCCCCCCCCCCCAATGTGTGCAGCTACAAGCTTCCAGGTTGTTTTCATTAACTGGCAGGAGGAAAGTGCCTTTCGTGGAATGCGACTGAACCTACTGGTCTACTTTCACCTTTCCACTTATTGCTCCCTGCTCAAGCACGTGCAGAGGGTATTTTTAAGACTGATGCTGTCTCTCAGCAAGTTCATTTACCAGCTGTCACGCTTTCAACCCCAACAGTAAACAAACTACAGCCAACACATCTTAATGCAGCCACAAAAATAGCTCTTATGACATAGTTTTTAATATCAGACTCTATATTAAGCCTTTCTATTCAAAACTCAGTTGTCCTGCAGTAGAACTTATTGACTATACCTGCACCAGCCCTCTGTGCCGTAAGTAACAACTTAACAGAAACAGAACTGTAAGGCTCCAAACTGCACAGTGCATTCAATACACCTGTAAGGATAAAATGGATATGAAAAACCTTCCAGCTCTCTAGAGCAGTGGAAACCCTCCTTCCCGCTTTGCAATGCAAGTATTTAAGCTTTTACTACAAAGACAGACATTGGAAAGCCACTCATACATTTGTGTACATATATGTGTATATGTGTATACATATATATGCTTGTAGAGCTTACACAAAAAATAAGAAAATCATGTAATTTAGAGGGGATTTTATTTGGGAATACTTAAGCTGGGGCTAGCATTTTTACCTGCTACTCAATAATGAGATGGAAAATGTTTAATTTTATTACAACGTGGTCTGCCTAAACATCACAATATAGCAAGTATTGTCTGCAAAGTGTTAAACTTCGATTCATTCAAAGAGTATAGATTATTTACTCAAGTAGTTTGACAGCACCACTTACAAATAGACCCCCTGAGGCAAGACTCTGCTTAGGAAGTTAATTACCACATAAGAGAGATTTGGGCTCTGCGTTTCTTAGTTCCCAAAAAAACAACTAATCTTTAGTCATTCTTTTCTAAGGGAAAAGAAGTGAAAGAACAGCAGCATCAGAAAATCTGCTACGATAACGTTACAGTCTTAGTACATAATGAGGGTAATTGTGTGTCACTGCTTCAGAACACTGAATATTACATTTCTAGTGAGCTTACTAACACACAGGGTTCAAAATGTGAGCAGTTAAATCTACTGCAGAGCTTATCAATTCACATCACATGTTTTCAAAATTACTTTAGCTCCAAGACATCCCAGCCAGCAGCCAGGAGTCTGTTGTTCAAAACCTGCAATACAATCAACATTTCACTTACAGCCTTGGTACCCTTTATCCTTTCCTCAGATACTTCATTTTGGCAGAACAGAATTAAACAGCCTGAGAGACATCACCCTAAAACAATTTTACCAAAAAAAACCCTAAAATCAATTCCTGCAGGAGCAAAAATCAGTGCTGGCAATAACCTAGTAAGGGTGTTTACTTTACAAACACAGTCTCTATGGTGGTTATAATTTCCACCCTAAAGGAAAGGACAACAGTAGAAAGATTTTAAGAGCAGTGATTCATCATCCACCTTCCTTTTCAACTCTCATTTTCCACTCCTCTTTCAGACAGGTGCAAACACTACCACACGCTCTGTAAGTTTTATTTAACCCGGTTGTACAAAATCGGACACTTTTTTACCATTTTCCCATTCCTTTTATGCACAGGTACTTCTTGCTATCACAAGGTAGCAGGACAGAAGGCTTTAGACGAGTCTCAAGCAGTAATTTCTGCAATAAGGATGCAAAAATCCCATCTTCTATGTCGAGACACTGATGGCAACCCATGCTCCCCCACTTCAGTTCTGGTGCCCCCCCAGTAAATGATAAGCTTGGAAAATCTGTTAACATTTGAGCATCTACCACTTGTGCACACTTCAAAAGCCTCCTTTGGGAGGTCACCAGTGGACACAAACTTAAGAGCATTTCGTTCCACAGCACAGCATCAGTCAGCAGCCCCAAAGAACAGCAAATAATGCAATATCCACACTAGCTTTGTGTCCTCTCAGGCCAAGCAGGGCTCTTTCATGCAGCGTGGAGCCCATGGCATCCACTGAGCAGAACTTAAGTTTTGAGACAGGCCAGTCACCCAAGTGCTGGCACAGGTCAGCACAGCCATCCTATATTTAGCCTTCCTGTAAAGCAGCTACGCTTTGAAAATAGTAGTGGTCGAGTGTTTCTTCCCTCAGTTCCAAAAGGAGCCACAAATAAAGCAGCAAACCAGAAGTCAGGAACAAGCACAGAAGAGGAAACATTGGCCACATCCATCGCTCTCTATACACATGTACACGGTTATGGAGATTATGAGACAGGTACACATCAGACACTTGGGAATTTTTATGAATTATTATGGAATGCTTTCAAATTGCAAAATTCCGAATGCGACTAACACAATTAATAGTGCAAAGAAATGTGAGAACTCAAATCTGTTGTGAATATACCTGTTCTAAATAGAATTCTGTCAAAAAGTACTATTTCCAGTGAATGTAAACCCAGCAATAAACCAGAAAACTGGACACAGAAGTCATGTGCGCTGTATATACAGTTTGAGAAGCCTTATACAACCCAATAATTAATAGACAGCATAGTACTACAAACAGATGAAAGGAAAAAAAAGTAAAACCAGTTGTTTTCCACTTCACACATTTTATATTAAAAGAAAATTTAAAAATCAGTTTTTTACAAGTTGGAGTGCTGGCTATGTACACATGAACACACATTGATATTTTCCTGGCAGACTACGTCTAGGAATTTGTACTAGTCCCCCAGACTAACTAGGCTAAGGATACTGAAGGACTGAGGAGATGTAAAAGCAGCTATTGGCCATTTATTTAGTAGGACATTCAAGAAGTTCTACAGAACCCAGCAGCTGTGAAACATTTTGAACACCCACAAAGACACTATCATCACAGAATCACAGAATGGTTTGAGTTGAAAGGGACTTTAAAGATTTCCAACCCCCGCGCCACGGGCAGGGTCACCTTTCACTAGAGGAGGTTGCTCAGAGACCCATCCAACCTGGCCTTGAACACTTCCAGGGATGGGGCATCCACAACTTCTCTGGGCAACCTGTGCCAGTGCCTCACCACCCTCAAAGCAAAGAACTTCCTCCCAATTTAAACCTACTCTCTTTTTGTTTGAATCCATTCCCCCTTGTCCTGTCACAACTACACATGCTCCAATTAAAAAAAGAAAAGACAGAAGAACTGCAATCAGAAGAACTATGGCTGCAAGAGGCCTGAAGTTGAGGAAAAATGCTTTATTTATATGCAGGGATGGGAAGGAAGCAGGCTGTCCCTCTGGAATCAAGTGTTTACAAGTCAGCATGGAGGGGCACATGGATGATACGGGAAAGGTGAACAAGTAGAGCAGCAAGTTCACTGTAAGTCAGCTCAAACAAGACACTATTCAAAGGAACCTCTGAGCCTTTTCTGCTCTCTCCTTAAGGAAACTGCCTATTTGCACATTTATCTTACCTGCAGTCTGTGTCCACATCCATCTGTGACAGAATTCCTAAGGAATCCTATGAAACTGCTGCTGCTGAAGAGAACAAGCAACAGCTTCTAGGAGAGCGACTGAGAGGATGCAGCAGCAATCAACTCTGAAAATCCCACGAAAGGCATGGGAGACAAGTTGGGCAGGAAGATTAACAACAGGTGCCCTCAGTTTAAAGTGGTGGCAGCCCATCCTTTCAGCATCACTGGAGGCCCAGGGGAGCCTCATCTTCTGCTCTAAAGCCCCAAGTAGTTACTGTGCTACATCTGTGTCTTTTTGCAGCACCACACGCTAATAACTGCCTGCTCTAAACTCTCCCACCTGAGTTTCTAAGAATAAGAATATCTTGAGATAGGAGCCACTCAATGTTTCATAGGTGGGAAAAGGAACTAAGAGAAAGATGACCTGCAAGATTTCATGCTTTAAAGATCATAACGGTTCCTCACGATTCAAGTCATCATCTTCACTTGTCATGTTTTAATAGCTTCATAACAGAAAATGCAAAAAATATCTTGATGTGATGACAACATCTCAGGATTATGAAGGCTGTGACTTTCAGTGTGCAGGTGACGTTGCCTTTCCACTTAGCATGTTACTTCTAAATTTGAAGTGCCTGCAGAGATGGTTCTTTCAGGCAAGTTATCTTACCATGGCCACCAATATACCCAGCTTAACCCTAAAAGATTATGCATGATCTGACATAAGAAAGTTAATTACTTAACCTGCATGCCAGGTACCAAGTGAAAGGAGCACCTGTTTCCAAATTCCCCATTCAGCTTCTATGTCAGCAAAACTGATCACTGTAATGTAATAACATTTCACCAAGACAAGAAGCACAAAGGCCAAGAGTTTCTACCAGAAGGACTAAAGTGACAAGGCTGCGTTTAAGCCTAAAACAACAAAAGAAGTGCCAAGAAGAATTGGCTGATGTTTTTGCACCTGCTTTCTGGTCTTAGCATTTTTTTCGTTTACAAAAGTTAATTTCTAATTAGAAGCAAAGTTATTTGATAGGTATTAGAACAACCTTTAAAGAGAAAAGCACCAACTGCTTC